TATACATCAGTAGAATTTGATTCATCTTGCTGATCTCAAACATTACACAATGGATTTGTCTAAATACAGTAAATGTCATTCTTTAAACCCTTTAGATCACTACTTACTTTTACGAGTGTTAATGACCATACAACCCCTGTTTACAAATAAGTCTTCACACAGAGGAGACCATCTTAATACTTGAACTCTGCCTTGGACCTGTTTATCTGTATGTAAGCTTACAGAGAACCAAAATATACACATCATAATAAAACTAACTATGTTTAAATAAAGTTCAAAACCATCTCTTCAAACAACTATGCATAGACAATCAATCTTCTTTTTAAAACCAACAGTAGGTTAGTAACAGTTTTCATAAAAACCGGTTTAAACTTAAACATGAGTGGGTGTTTTACATTTTGACCCACACGACACATTAAAAAAACATTTATTAATGTAAAACTACATAATCTAAAGAACAAAAATGACTATTTTGGAATCAAATCTTTAAGAGAAGATATGATACCTATCCCTATAAACTCTAAATAACTCTAACACCTTTAATCTTCACTGTTTATCTGTACTAAGGGTTTTACTTAGAACTCTCAAATTTATGAATTGTAAGAGACCAGGCCCCACTTGTATAAAACATCTCAACTTGAGATTTCCTCAAGTCGAGATTTTCCTCAGCTGATATCTCCTCAAAAACTGCTTGTATAAAATTTTCTCAAGGAACAGGAGGAAGTCATCGGCTAGGATGTCCTGAAATTCCTTGAGGAATTTTCATACAAGATATTTTCAAGGAGATATTAGCTGAGGAAAATCTGGGCTTGAGGAAATCTGAAATTGAGATATTTTATACAAGTGAGGCCTGGGACTCACATCATATAAGAAATAGAGTAAAACATTATTATTTCACTGGTCGTTAATCAATTTCAGGAGTCAAAATGAAGGAAGGATTTTGAGAGTCAGGAAAAATCCTGATACCGTTTAAGACTTTTTGGAATTATAGTTTTGTCACAAATTACTTAATTTCTATTGATTAATGTGGGCTAATAAAAAGCTAACTTTGACTAAAACTGATTCTATACTAAACTCTGTTAACCTATCAGACTCTGACAGAATGTTCTTCTTCCTATACCTGAATAACATAACAGGACACTTAATATTATGTCCCTAACAAATGCACAACTATGTAAATACAGACTGAAGATTTTAATTTCGTGGTTGAAAAAGATGACATGTAAAATTTGCTTACAATGAACTCATCTGATAATATGACAGTTTCAAAAACCATTGACTTATTTGTGTATCTAGTCAGAAAAAAATGCAAATAAGTCAGTAAATCTAAAGTCATGTGTAGGAGCTAGTAGGCACTTCCTGATGTAGCAGTGGTATATCTCGGTGCCTTGAGTGTCAAGTCTTCGGGTCACCAAGTCTTGGCGTCCCAGACTTGCATGTCTCACAAGTACATGTGCCTCTAGGGTTTGAAAAGAGCTGGGAGACCTTTCCTGCAGATTACATATCTTAGTCAGTGTACTCTCTCTACAGTGGATCATCTTGGGATCTTATATTTTGGTGGGAATTGTCTGAAAACTGTTATAAACTGTTTAAGGAACCAATTTGTTTTAGATATTCACATTTAACAAGACTCAACACCATCTGGGTTAGATGCTCTAAGGCTCTGCTTAAATTCACATGGCTTTAACACAGACAGAAAAAAAACTTTTAAGTTTCCACATCTCAAGACAATTTTAGGAAACAACAGATATAGAAAACAATAAATGGATCTTACCAATTAAAAAATGTCCAAAAATGATTTCCTGTGTATAATTTATCAGCTACAGGTATTGACACTGTATATCTGTTGTAACAAAACTGTATCCAGTTGGCATTCATCAAACCATGAATGCCAACTCAAAGCAGTTCAATGTTTAAGTATCAGTCATTTTTCTTATCTCATTTTCTGGTTGGAGATTCACTATTTCCTTTGTTCATTAACATAATTTGAATCACTTTGTTGATTCATGTATTCATGTGAACTTGTAAAACTAAAGGCCAATGACAGATATTATAAGAAAATAATTCTTTATGAAAAGTCTAAATGATGAGATATCTATGGATTTAATCACTTCCCAGACTTTGTGCTTTGGAATAAAGGAAATTAAATGGTCATAAGACTAAAATGAAAATGAGAGGAATGTGAATTAAAAAAATAACAGCGACTTTCAAAAATTTCAATCATATTAATTATGCAATCTTAGCAAACTTAATTTAACTAGTAGACTTCTGTTATTCAAGTTTGTATCATAATCATGATTGTAGAGATCGTCAGATTTCATGGAAACTTGTGATCTTGAGTGATTTACCTGTAGGTAATGTAGGCCCTCAGATATTTTTAGCAACAGATTTATCAGATTGAATTCAATTGTTATAACTTTCTCCCCTCCAGACCTATAGGTTGTATTATCACACATAAATAAACATTACTGCTTCATTATATAACCCACAATAAGAACAGCCTGTTCAAGTCTGTGTCAAAGAATGAGAGAGTCCATTTGGACAGTTTAATACGAAAACATTTTGTTCTGAATAACTGCACCATATCTAGATCAATAATTCTGAGAAACGGGCAAAGTAATTTAAAATAAAAAAGACTTTAGATATTTCTTAGACAAGGGCAGATTTCATCTTTCTTCAAAGCAATTCATTGAAATTGTACCGTATGAACCAGCCAAAAAGTCACAAGGCAATAACAAATAACTTCCAGGGATTCAAGGACAGCACCATCATGATCCACAAGACAAATGTCATACCACCTTTACTTTCCAACCTATTTCATATCTTTGGTGCTAATAATCAAAACAATGTATATGTTCCCTTGGTAACGGAATTTCCTATTAAGAAAATGCTTGCTATAAAATACGGACCTATATTTTCTGTATGATCTAGATTGGCACAGCTTGTAAGTCACAGGTGTCAAATAAAGACCTTTTTCATTAATATTTCTCTTTACAACATGACCACTCAAATAAAATTTTGAAGCACATCTTGTCATTATCTTTCCCAATTACATAATCCATATCCATGGTAATGAAGACACATGACAACTTAAGAATCATTATCCCTTGTGTGATGTTATCTCTATTATCATCTTTAACAAAATATACATAAATGCAGTGAAGCATTTACTAATTGCATCAAATACAGGAAATTAATTTTAAAAAACTGTATGACTGTCTTATCTTCTTCGGAATAATAACCTGACTCTATGAAGTGAATTTCTATGGAAAGTTAGAAATTATAGGAAAATTAGGGTTAATTGGTTCAATTAAACCATATGATAGGTTTAAGTGAGCAGTACACAAACAATCTCCATTGTATACTTTCAGGGATTTGTTCCACCTCACACTATTGATTTATGTCTGTAATTTTCAAGATGACTGCTTCAGCTTTTCAGAGATAATTGTCAAATCGATTAGATTTTTTATTGTGTTGCCATGACAGTATTCCTGTTACTGAATGTAGAACCCCAAGACACCTGCTGATAGATGTGTCATATTTTAATGTGAAAATGAAGTGGTTTTGAATTTACAATCACACCTAGGAAGAGTTGGGTATACAAGAAGGAAACAAGCCATTCCTCTATATCAGACTGAAGTTTTAATTATTACTTATAAACTTAAGTCGAATATGACCTGTTATACCTCAGTTTATCATATGTAGAATGGTCAAGTGTCCAATTATTCGAGAGAAAAACCTTTCAGTGTGATGAAGCAGAAAAAGCCTTGTTAATGAGGAAGATGTATGATTTTAAAAGGACATTAATCTCAAAACAGCTGATCTAACACTGAGATTCAGTATACAGATCTTTTGCCTTGACAATGAGTGGATATATATGACCTTGACCTCAATTTAACATCTGGCCTATTACCAGATTTAGCAATTAAAAAAAGTTGACCTTGACACATGTCCAAGACCTTTACAAGCACATTATAGTTAAGAACTGATATAAGTATAGTTACCGGTGATCGACCCTGTACTGTTTCACTACAACAATACCTGCCAATGACTGATCACAACTTGACAGAGAGGATCCTACATTATACTGTGGTTTGATGATTATGTGTAAGGAGGGATAACATTGATGGGAGGTATGATCAAGTGATGATGACAACATCTATAAACGTTTCATCCTGATAGACAGGTGCCCTAATGAGGTGTTCTAATGAGATGTGATATTATCAATTAGTCTTTATCTGTTCCGCTATACCTGTATGTTTACCTTAAAGGTTAAGTAAGGTGACATATGATGGATTACCTATCAATCACTGCTGCATTCCAACACTTACTTACAACTGTACACACAGGTTATCGAAGTGAAAAAAATTCATTTATATTCAACATGTAAATATTCACCTGTTTATATCTATAGGACAACATTCAGTGACCGTTTTATTTATTTTTTTCCTTAATTGCTTAATGCAGAAACTTACCTGAATACAAATTACAGTATATGTAAGTAAATATGACAAACTTCTCAATAGAAACAGGAATAAGCTTTATAAGACAAATATAACTTCCCCAACAATCTTCATATGGGACTGCATAAATGCTAATTCAATATTAGTCAATTACATTAATGAAAAAAGAGTGAATTTCAAGTTTTTTCTAAAAAGTGTGAATTCTTTGACTGCAGGATTTGGAACATAATGTAGTGCCTAGAACCTTAATATATTGCAAATGGACAAAATCTTATGCAAAGAAATAAGTTGTGTTGCTGAGATTTAATGTTGACTTTTTACACTGCAAAAATTCTGCTTGTAAGCCTGTAAGCTGTGACAGTTTTATCTGGTGGACAACAAATTCGGGAATAGTTTTCTAATAAAAAGGCCATTATTTTTGTAATCAAGAATCTCCATCATCTCTTTAGTGTCATTGTTAATATAAATATTGGCATTATTTCACCAAGGCTAGGCTTTTGTCACTACAAGTGCAGTCACTGTTCAAAGCTTACTTACCAAGGAGATAGCCATCGAGGGGCCCTTGGCTGTAGAACAGAATCTCATAATAAATCCTCTCAAAACGTGAAATTGTAGGCCATTCTTCCTCTGCTGTAATGTAAAGGTCAAGATTTAAATGATGTTTCAGGAAACAAAAACACATGGTTAATTTGTCATGGCTGGAATGAAAATATCCACATTTTTATGCGGTTTAAATATTTGTACATAATAGAATACAAAAAGAAAGATCCTATTTATCAAAAGTGTTGAAGCCTGTCAGTGTGTGCAAAACTGTGTCTGACCATCTGACATGTTAAGTTAAAACTTGTTCAGTCTAGCAAATAATATCCTGACACTTTGGTAAAGCAAAGAAGGAAAATTAAAGAATTTTCTTTTTCAGTTTATCAAACTTTCATGAAGGTTCTCATGCACTGTTCTGTGATGTCTTTATGAGCTTTCCTCACACACCTTCATTAATATGACATGTGGAGCGAGCATGGTATTATCCAACAATGTATTTCATTGTGGTCAATAATAAATGTGACAAAATATTTGGTGACAATATCTATTCACCCTAAAGTATAAGAAATTCTCCCTTCCTTGAATAGTGTATTTATTGTGTTCCTAACTTGTTTTGTGATGTTTCATTTTTTAGGTTTGCTTGATATGAAACTGATCGCGAAGTCTCATTAAACCAGATTCTTGTCTGCACATGTGATTGTTTATTTCTACGTCCTCCATGTTGCTATCCGCCATTGGCACAAAGCATTACTTGAACTTCCACTTCCGTGTCACAACTTTATGACTTATAGTATGGATTGATTTTTTCCACTTTTATTTCTTCACAAGTGATATCTTTAGGACTTGCTTCACAAAACTGCTGCTGGAGCTACAGTCACTATAAATTGAAAAAGAAAAAATCAGTGTCTTGTCCAAAAATATGCCGTTATGTCAAAAGTCAAAGGGAAATGCTTGGTTGCAAAAAGCTGATGGACTTGTTTAGGTTCAACAACAGTGCCACCGTGTCAAGTTGCATAATTTGATTTCACTGTGAAAACAGCTAATTCAACATTTAGTGACATATGTCAAAACCCCAAAATTGTTCAAATCATCGATATCTGTATGAAAAATTGATTAACTCCTTGAAGAGAAACGTCAGATATGGATAATGTCTATAGTCACATGGTTCTGTGAGTGAGAATGCTCAAATATTGGGAATCATTTGGGCATATGATTTACCTGTTAAACTGTTAAAACTGTTTGAGAAAGTAACACAAGCTGGTGCACAGTCATTGGCTGAAATGCAAGTACATCAACATTCTTTTTCTTTATATAATCTGATTCTGTTTGTCACAGAACAATAGAGGCATGCAATCTGAACTCTTTCAGGACCATTTAAGTGGTGGTAGTTTTGTAACACTGGGCTGGTGCCTGTCATGAAACCATAACAAACTTGATATAGAAAAATTGGGGATTTACCACTGTATGTTTTTTTGATGACCCGTGACAATTTAAGAAAACAAGATTGCATTTCAGAAATAACCTCAAAACTTCAAGTAAACATTGAAATTAAGATGAATATATCTCAACACAAAAGAAAATAAAAATACTCCCCACATTAGCCAGTATAAATGCTAACTGAGAAAGATAAATATGTAGTCTTTCAATACAGACATATATCTTGATTATATCCCAAATGCAAACTTTCCATGATGAAGAGATTCCAAAGCTATGTACTGTTAACTCATACTTCAAATACATAGAAATTTATGTGAATGATGCATTGAAGCTATAGAAGTTTCTTAACAAATATAATGTTTATTTGACAACCCACTTAAAAAGTGTACATGGTAATTTATACTCTACTTGAATTATTTACACAACCAACCACATGCCTGGTTGTAATTTCTGTCAGAATAATGGTCTAATTTTGCGGAATTAACATCGGCTGCTAGGAGTTTGGCGATACTTGATATTATAATGGAGTGTGATTCTCAGCCTGATCAATCTGTAAGCTTCGATCATGAACACAGGTCAGCGATAATTTGTATTGATCACTAGATGTAATATACCATTTCATTTATCAGTTAAATGGGCCTGGCAGATTCATATCATTTTAAACTCTTCTATACCTAAAATTCCAATATGTACAGCCTGCAAAACAATATCATACAAACATGGACAGAACGACGGCTATCATTTGGGATACAGGAATGCAAAATACAAATGAATGAAAAGAGGATAAAAGAGTTTTTTTTAAGGGAAAAAAGTCATCATCCTTATTCAACATGCCTTCAACTGACTTCTCCTTCAAAAATATTAATTTCACTTTGAATTTTTTTAAAAACATTGACTTTAAATCTAAAACAACTCCTTTTCAGATTTTGCGTTCTTTGTCTACCAATATGTAAATATTACAAGGAAGACATTCACAACCTGTTCATTCAGATACATTCAGGACAACTTTAACCATGCAGATATCAACATACTGTCTGGTAAAAATTGTGCACCCTATCACACCATACTACTGACACCAATAAACATATACCTGTATGCTTCCTTCTTACAAATGTACCAAATACAAGTATTTATGAAAGAAATTAAAGTTCTCTTGCATGACTTCACAAAAATATATTTTTTTTACTAAAAATGAAATGAATTATGTTTCAAATAAAAAAGGTAATAGCTCTGTAGCTCTTATCATCACAAAAAATGTCATTTTTCACAAGAAGAGCACTTTTCCAACAAATATTGCAATGTCATCATTAATTTGAAATAAAATTTTGCCTTAAGAAAAGTTATAGATTTAAAAAGTAGTAGATACCCTACTTACTCTATATCAACATCATGAAAATGAAATAAAATGTCACTATCCTTTTTCTCTTGTTCCATTAAAATTCACTTTACCATTAGCTTAGTGAATCAAACTTCCCATCAGGAAAAAAAATGTCCCTTAATATATATAAGAATAATTATTGAGACAAGAGAGCCTTGAGGCATGAGAGCCTTTACAGATCTATACACTGACATCAACACTTTTCTGTAAAACCAAATCAACATACCATAATTTGTGTAACATTCAATGAAGATTTATATATATTATATCTAAACCTATCAGAATTAAAAGGAATGAAATGAAAGTAATGTTTATCATGATATCTGTTTACAACTCCTTAATCTAGAAATAGAAAAAGAATTTTAAAATCATTGTTACCATTGTTATCTTTTTATACCAAATAGGTAATATAACATAATTAGATTAAACGTTCAGTGAAAAATGAAATATAAAAATCCTGTAGTTCTAATACACATTGTATACACATCTCAATAGATTTTTCCTTACGAAGCAAAATTTCAGTATCTTGAAATTGTACCACAATGGACAGAGATCCCAAGTGAAAACAAGATAGATTCAAAGACGATTATTTTGAAAGTCTTTTAAAGATAACACCAAGTGTCTCAAGGCTAGGTATATACAAAAAATTCAGAAATATGAGAAGTTTTCAGTCAAAAATTCTAAATTTCATATACCACAGACTTCATTATTAGTGTTTCATTTGCTAACTTAGTTCATCAGTGAAGTAAAATAGTTACAATGTATTCAATGTAAACCAAACCTGTGACTTACAAGCAAGGCTTTTCTCAAGACTTCTGGTGGCCAATAGTTTGCCTCATTTCCATTGAAATTATTTCATATTTAACCCCCATTCCCAAAATTTGCAATTTACCCTTGGAAATTTCCTTCACAATTTGTCAATTAAAATGAAGCCAAAATGTCCCATCCCAAACCAGTGAAAAAAAGCCGTGAGTAGTAAGTACTTGAATACCAGGTAGGCACAAACATTATCAGTAGATCAGTTAATTACAGATAAAATTCTACTAGTTGTCCTGACAGAAAACCTCAAAAAGATTAAAATGTCTTTGTGAAAATATAGTCCTTCAGCTCCACAACTTTGCATAACACGAATTTATAGTAGACTTAAGGCTGTAACTGGACCACATGTTGCCAGTCTTTTACCAGCTGTGTACAAATTGATTATGTACATGCATGCAATATTGTATTCAATAGATCTTAGTTTGTACAAAACCAGTGCAGTCAATAGGACAAATTTTGTGTCATGTATATTGATCCAGATTTTGCAAAGTATGTTTATGTTTACCTTGTACCTTAGAAAACTCTTACAGACCCATACAACTCTCTTCTTCCTCCATTATACCCGGATTTCACTTTTCTACTGCTCTGATATTCTTCCCTAACCACATTCTTCCCTCATTCTCTATCTCATTTTTTGCTGACCTTGAACGCCCCTCTGCCCTAGTAAACCTAACTGATATCCTGCCCATAACTATTCACTTCATCCTGTTCCCCCTCCATCTTCATTTTCTCCTACACTGTTCCCCTCCCCCATCCTCATTTACTCCTACACTGTTCCCCCTCCATCCTCATTTACTCCTTCACTGTTCCCCCTCCATCCTCATTTACTCCTTCACTGTTCCCCCTCCATCCTCATTTACTCCTACACTGTTCCCCTCCATCCTCATTTACTCCTACACTGTTCCCCCTCCATCCTCATTTACTCCTTGACTGTTCCCCCTCCATCCTCATTTACTCCTTCACTGTTCCCCCTCCATCCTCATTTACTCCTACACTGTTCCCCCTCCATCCTCATTTACTCCTTCACTGTTCCCATCCTAAGTCTCTCCTACCCTGATCCTGCGCCATCCTCATTTACTCCTTCACTGTTCCCCCTCCATCCTCATTTTCTCCTATTTTTTTGGAGTTCATTCTCCTGTTCTCCTTAACTGTTCCCCCTCCATCCTCATTTACTCCTAAACTGTTCCCCTCCATCCTCATTTACTCCTTCACTGTTCCCCCTCCATCCTCATTTACTCCTTCACTGTTCCCCCTCCATCCTGATTTACTCCTAAACTGTTCCCCTCCATCCTCATTTACTCCTACACTGTTCCCCCTCCATCCTCATTTACTCCTACACTGTTCCCCCTCCATCCTCATTTACTCCTACACTGTTCCCCCTCCATCCTCTTTAACTCCTACACTGATCCCCCTCCATCCTAATTCTCTCCTACCCTGATCCCCCTCCATCCTCATTTACTCCTACATTGTTCCCCCTCCATCCTCTTTAACTCCTACCCTGTTCCCCTCCATCCTCATTTACTCCTTCACTGTCCACCTCCATCCTCATTTACTCCTTCACTGTTCCCCCTCCATCTTCCTTTACTCCTACACTGATCCCCCTCCATTCTAATTCTCTCCTACCCTGATCCCCCTCCATCCTCATTTACTCCTACTCTGATCCTTCTCCATCCTATATCAATTGTACCCTGGTCTTCCTCAACTCTATTCACTCCCGTCCTGATCTTCCCTATCCTTATGCAGTCTCCTACACTGAGCTAGTTGACAATGAAATTACATTTAATGTTGTACTGGGTACTTTCTTGATTTGTAAGATACAAAATGTACTTGAATTGTCTTATGATATAATTTAGCATGGAGTTAAAGCTTTGAGAAATCCCTCCCTTATACCCTTATTCAATCCTGGTCCTTCTTCTTTCTTACCCTGCTTTCTAATCTACTCTAATTATCATTAAGTACCAGGAGCCAGTACAACAACGTTCAAAATCTACATAATCAGTTCTCTACCATCTAACATGCATTAAGTCAGTAAACATAACCTTAAACATGCAATGTAACCTAACCCAAATATTGACTAAAACTTCCACTTGACCTGAGGTCAAATCTTGTCTCTGTATTGACAGTATACCAACAAACTATCAACACCTGAGATACAGCATTTTGCTTTAGTCAAAAGAATATTTCAGTAAAATCAGTGAGAAAAGAATTTTAGACATCAACCAGGTCTAAAAATATCTTATACTAAGATTAACATAAAATCTTTTACCAGTAATAATTTCTTTTCAAAATTTCTGTAGATGGGTTCTGTTAAAATAATAAAATCAGTTGAAATAATGTTTGTATTTCATCAATCTTAATTCTGCTTGACCGAACTGACCAGGTAGTTATCTGTCATGTCTGCTTGTACAGGTAACCACACCGCCCAAGGGAGAAACATTTAAAAGGTGGTAACAACTACCTACCTGTCAACATTTTGTCTGCTTAATATTAGGTCAGTGTCTCGTTGCCAGGTAGGCAAGGACACATGAGTCCAAGACTTAAATGGTCAATTTGGAAATATTATGGTAAACTTTTTCAGTCTTTTCCTTTTCAACTGATATAAAATATGGCATGTCCATTGTTAAAATCAACATGAATTCAGGTTTTTTTCTTTCCCTGGAAAAATACCTGCTTGAATGGTAAACACCTGACTTTGGATAAAACTACAATATTAAAAATTATTTAATCAGAATCCTAACATTTTTATCTTTAATATTTAAAAAAAAAATAGATTAAAGTTTGGTAAGTATCAAATAGATCAAACAGTTGAAAAAGAACTGCAATACATTTTTCAGAAATATATACATTGTATTTGACATTATCAGCAAAAATTTTGTTACTTAAGGACACTTCTGATGAAACAAATCAAACACATGCTTTCTATTCCTATATATATCCATGCATACCTGCTGCATGCTCAATATTTAGCAGACAACAGAAAACAAATTGAAATGCAGTTTTAAGATTTTTTGCTGTTAAAAGAATCATCTCCTTATATCCAATTACATTAAAAAATTATGATATAGTCTAAATCTTCTGTATCTCTATGAATAGGTTAAACATTGAAATATGTGTCTCTATAAATAGGTTAAAAAATAGAAATCTGTGTCTCTATAAATAGGTTAAAACATAGAAATCAAGACATATTTTAATAGACTTTACGGAATGTCTAAAAAATCATTGGATATATATGGATAATTATCCATATATATCCAAATGTAAAGCAGGGTAAGTAAATACCCTGAAAATCTTCAATGACAGCTAACCATGCTTTTGACAAGAGAAGGTTGGTGTAGGTGACAACTAGAACAGATCTTGTAACATGTTTCTTGCCAACAAGAGTATGTTCCAAATCTTCAAAGACACTGATCGCTTTAATGACCAATGTTTCTATCTAGGTTCTGTCACATGGAAGAATAAATCAACTGTTTCAATGCAAATTCAGCAGGTGTAGATATCTTTTTTATTTCTTTATGGAATGCCTGGACACACTGAGCGACATTCCTTACAAGGGAATAGTGTTCACTTAAGGGTGACACTGAAGTCAATTGTGTTTATGTATTAAAGAAGAGTTCTAATGCATTTGGAATTTCCTGAATTTGAGATGCTTGCTCATCTGATAAAGCAATGAATTACATAACAGGAATAAAAGGAATTCATTCTAGTCCTTTAACATCGATTGTTGAAAGATATTTAATCTCTAGACCTTTATTTATGCACTGCCCTAACAATCAGGATCATTTTTCCCCGTCATCATTGGAAACATTTTGAAGATGATTTGCTTTTTGTCGTTATATGAATATAACAGGAAATAGCTGAATTGACAGTAAATTAACTGCTAGTGTTTGTAAATTCAAGCAACCATGTACTAATAAATCTGGTATGTTACGGGAAAAAATTATTCTTCCGCATTTAAATTTAGAAAAAATTATTACAAACATAAATGTTAAACACATATGCTTTCATAAATCTCTTTATTTAGGTATAAACTATCATTACCATGGAGTTTGAACATCAGATTTAACAATCTTTAGTGAAGATCTCAAGTGTGTGGTTTGATTTTTCAGGAAGCCAAGATCACAGACCATGCTGAGCTACTGTGATTGCATCCTAAAAAGTTGGTGAAGTCACTTTATCAGGATAAATGTTTGACTGCATCCAACATCTTGTTCAATGAAGTAGTCACCAGTTACTAAAAGGGGACCCTCCTGCATATTAACATAGGGGACCTACCGTCATATCATAATAGGAGACCCTCCGTCATATTAACACAGGGGACCCTCCGTCCCATAGGAGACCCTACGTCATATTAACATAGGGGACCCTCCGTCCCATTAACATAGGGGACCCTCCATCATATTAACATAGGGTACCCTCCTGAAAATTAACATAAGGGACCCTTCGTCATATTAACATAGGGGACACTCTGTCATATCAACATAGGGGATCCTCCGTCATATTAATATAGGGGACACTCAGTCATATTAACATAGGGGATCCTTCGTCATATCAACATAGGGGACCCTCCGTCATATCAACATAGGGGACCCTCCGTCACATTAACATAGGTGACCCTCCGTCACATTAACATAGGGGACACTCTGTCATATCAACATAGGGGATCCTCCGTCATATTAATATATGGACCCTACATCATATTAACATAGGGAACCCTCCGTCATATTAACATAGGGGATCCTCTGGCATATCAATAAAGGGGATCCTCCGTCATATTACATAATGGACCCTACATCATATTAACATAGGGGACCCTCCGTCATATTAACATAGGGGACACTCTGTCATATTAACATAGGGGACACTCTGTCATATCAACATAAGGGACCCTTCATCATATTAACATAGGGGACCCTCTGTCATATTAACATAGGGGACCTTCCGTCATATTAACATAGGGGACCCTCCTGCATATTAACACAGGGGACCCTCTGCATATTAACATAGGGGACCCTCCGTCATATTAATATAGGGGACCCTCCGTCATATTAACATAGGGAACCCTCCGTCATATTAACATAGGGGACCCTCTGTCATATTAACATAGGGAACCCTCCGTCATATTAACATAGGGGACCCTCCATCATATTACATAATGGACCCTCCATCATATCAACATAGGGGACCCTCCATCGTATCAACATAAGGGACACTCCGCCATATCAACATAGGGCACCCTCCATCATCTTAACATAGGGGACCCTCTGGCATATCAATAAAGGGGATCCTCCGTCATATTACATAATGGACACTCCCTCATATTAACATAAGGGACCCTCCGTCTCCTTAACATAGGGGACCCTCCTTCACATTAACATAAGGGACCCTGCGGCATATTAACATAGGGAACCCTCCATCATTATTAACATAGGTCATTAAAGTGGCATTAAACTCAACAGACATTTATCAAGGAGGTAGATATACAGTATAGTGAGGATGGCATCATGGGAAGAGACCGTCTTACTAAAATTAGCATGGATTATTGAATTAAATCTATGGTTATAGATAGGATTCAGAGTCTTCAATTCACTTCAAATCTAACAAATATACATGATAAATATATGTTTTATCTAAATAGTCCATGGTAAATGATTTTTTTTTTATAATCCTCCTTTTTATGATGTCAGCTGTGCCTTAATGGAAAAGTAATTTATTTACACCAAGTCACTGATTCTTACAGCCAATCTAATCTTATAAAAAATTATTACAAATAAACTTTGTGTAAGCAAACAATGTATAACAGGTGTTATGTTGCAACAGTCACAGATCATAAGATAACTTATTTTCATAACAATCTTTTAAGTAACATATTGCATGAAAATTTCACTACAGAACCAGCACAGAGTGTAAATATTCAAAGATACCTTTTGAGATGACCCCTATAGCGATATATTGGTCTATTTTTATTTAACCAACCATGCATTTGATAAACTGAATCAATATATGTTATGAAGACAATGTCTTCCTCCAGGCATGTGTATGTCAAATTGTTTTGAAATGGAATAAAAAATAAGTTCAATTTTATACAGATAAATTGGTAAACCTGAGGTAGCACATTGAGAACTGGTACATAAGTGTGCTTTATTTTCTAAATGAACATTTAGAAGCTATAGACCACTGCTTTTAAAGCAATCTTTGGTGAATGAATAAATATTCAATATTATCATCTCATTCTTCCAATGCCACATATTTTTATGAACAATTGAAATGAACAGAAATAAGGATTTTTATCTTTATGAATATTTTTCTAAGTTATCAAATTCATTATTGGCAGTACTACGAAAAATACATGGAACACATTCTTATTAATATTCATAATATTGATATTTACAAAATGCACCACCCTAGGATTGGTCTGAAAAACCCCTCCGTTAAATAGTACCCGCTTCATCTGACAAACAACCAAACTACCTATTTCAAGTCAACCAATTAGGAAATATCTAAATTACATTTGAACTAACAACAAAGGATTCGGCCTACTCCTGA